GACTTGGGATGTACGCCAGACGCTGGCTCCGTTATGCAGCAGATCCAGCTGTGCCGCCGTCATCAGGAATGGACGTCGCTTCACGTGACGCTACAGTGGAAAGGACGTCTCATGTCTCTTAAACCGACAATGCTCGCTCATCGCTCCTAGCGCTAGCTCCTCACATTTTTTCCTAGGTGGGAGGGGCTAAACAGCTAGCAAAGTCGGCTAGCAGTAGCACTAGCAGTAATTTAAGAGACTTGGGACGGACCCATGGCTGAGACACGGGGTCAAACATGGGGGGATTGCACCTGCGCAGTGTAACTTGAGCTGCGATGCTGGAGGGTGACAGCAGGGGCGCTAGATAAAAAGCGCAGGATCCGCTCAGGCGATCAAGGAGTGCGCTTGGTGCGGTCTGCTTGGGCTTTTGGACGGCGGCTGCCTGAAGTTGTCGGACTTGCATCTCTGTCATTCTCACCCACAACGCAGGCCACCAGTGACAGTCCAATAATAAGCTGTGAAAATGACATGCATGCACATATCCCAGAACCAACAAAATGGAGCCAGATCAAATAGGCCTACCTCTTGTTTTGCTGTGTGATGTTTCCAGCACAAAGCTCTTCCTCAGACTTTTAGTTCATTTGTTATTTGTGTGGTGACTGTGTGTGAAAACGCAAAATAAATCATTTTTGTCCTGCAATTGTTCCTGTGTTTTGTGGTGTGTGACATCAAGACAATAATGAAACTGAGAATATTTGAATACTGGAATATGTCAAAATGTGTCAATAAGCTCTTTTTTCAATATCATTTTAATTTGTTTTTCTTCCTTAATAAAGTAGCTAACCTAAACTAATGCTTCTGGCAAAGAACTAGGGCTCATTGGTTTTGATTCTGAGAATCATCCTTCAGTGTAACACTAGATATTATCACAATATATTTTGCTGTTAAGCCAGAGCACAGATGATCAGTTCTGCCATAATAGTTAAATTCTATTGCAAAAACAAACATTTTCAAATCATTCATAAATTCCCAAATGTAACCAAAAATACAAATTGACCATGAAACAAACACCCCCCTTATTCCGTGGTCTCAAGCCACCTGCTGAGCCTTTGAGGAAGTGCAGACCAGATTTTACTGTGCATGTGCAATCCCCCCATGTTTGACCCCATGTCTCAACCGTCTCTTGAATAGCCTTGCCGGCAAGCCAGAAATGGGGATCTTTCATAAGATATTTAGGCCTACTCATCTTTTATCTACTGTATACTGTATTAGTTTAGCAGGAGGCTGATTAAGTTGTCCAAAATCAATTTATGGACCAGCTACGTCACCACACCTATGTGAACTACTATCTTATATAGTGTATATTCTTTTAGACAGTTGGGCTATAGGTCTATTGTAGGCTAAATAGCCTAAGCCTACTTAAAATATATATATATATATATATTTTTGGTTCTTTGCTTTATTTATTTTTCTTGCCTATTCTTTCACACCAAAAGCAGATTAAAAAGAATGCTGGTAAGACTTTGAATGACTTGAAGACTGGAAGCACGGCTAAACTGTATGGCAATATCTATCAAACTAGAAAATAAAAAAACACCTTCCAACACCTCCAAAACAAACAAACTTTAATGAAATATATAATATAAAGTTCTTTTTCTAATGGCATGTTATCAGGCTTTGTTGCTAATCATTCTGACTTAACCAAGACAGTTGCATTAGAACCTGTGATAGCGTGGGACTAGGCAAGAAGCCACCACATATCTGTTACAGCTTGTGAAATGTATCACTTATCACTACATTGACAGTCAGTGTTTCATTGTATCACTTTGACTTGCAGGTTTGGACTATTCTGTAATGATGAAAACATTAGACAGCATATAAAAGCATCATCCTTTATCAGTGGTGTAAGGTAGTTACGACGGGCCCCAGTGCATGCTATTTGATGGACCACACTAGATGGGCCACACTATCATGCACATATCATCTCATGACATGATCAGAGACTTGACACTGGATAATATTAACATACATGTTACCTAGCAATCATCATTGTATATCTTTTTAAAAATATCAAAGAAAATGAGAAATTATTAAAAAAAAAAATTTAAAGATTTTTTTGGGGCTTTTTGCCTTTAATGGACAGGACAGATTGAAATGGGGTGAGAGAGGGAGAGAGTGGGTTGACATGCAGCAAGGGGTTGCAAGCCGGAGCCGAGCCTGTGACCGCTGCAGCGAGGCATTGCCTCTGTGCATGGGGCACCGGCACTATCCACTATGCTACTGACGCCCCGAAATTATTAATTTTATTGAACAATTTTAATAGTATTGTAAGTTATTTGGAATAAGTATATAAAACCATCCATCCATCCATCCATTTTTATCCACTTATCCGGGGCCGGGACGCAGGGGCAGCAGGCCAAGCAAAGCACCCCAGACATCCCTCTCCCCGGCAACACTTTCCAGCTCCTCCTGGGGGACCCCAAGGCGTTCCCAGGCCAGACGAGATATGTAATCCCTCCAGCGTGTTCTGGGTCTGCCCCGGGGCCTCCTACCAGTGGGACGTGCCCGGAACACCTCCAGCGGGAGGCGCCCAGGAGGCATCCTGATCAGATGCCCGGGCCACCTCAACTGACCCCTTTCAAGGATATAGCAAATGGCACTGTTTCTAATGCAATGAGAGTACTTCTTTAAAAAAGGCATATTTCCAAGGGGGCAATCACTTATGAGGGCCCATTCTCTACCCAGCACATTGCTGGAGGGCCCACTCTCTCTACTGACTGTTAATAATGTCTTTTCCACTTTATTTGTTTATGTCACTCTTTTTTAATCTTTGTTTTTTGTAGTATATTTTAAATTTTGCCTGACTCATTCTAATATGTAGGTTTTTTAATCTTGATTTCCCATGTAGAGCTCCTTGTACCTTTGCTTCTAAAGGTCCTTTTCTTCTTCTATTTAATGTCAAAATTATAAGGTAAGGTGTTTTTCTAATAAAAGTGGAAGTGAGTAACCTTTTTTAATCAGGCCTAAAATGTTGTGATGAAAAGAAATCAAAACTCCACTATTAAGAAACCCTGTGTAAAACTGTTGATTTTTCAAGCTCAATCTTCACTTTATTGGAGACAAAATCCTGGAGGTGGATTAAAACCTTTATTTAACTCAAACTGCAGTCAGGGTAGTATGATAATTTTCTGTCGTCTAAAGTAAAGATGAATTCACCAGGTTTAAATTTAATGAAGTTTAATTCCATGAGTTAGTGTTACATATTAGCTCATATTAGCTCTCCACAAAGACAAGGAAAAAAAACACCCAAAATCCTGAGGTCAAAAGGAGAATGGGAAGAAACCTTGGGAAAGGCCTCTTCGGACAGCTGGGGTTGTTACAGGAGCCACATAAAAAAAGTACAATATAATAAGATCAATAAGATCACCAATTAAGCAAGTCTAGCAGCATGGCCTTAAATCCTTCGTCCTGTAAAAGAGAGAGCAGCATTCATGTTTATAAAATATTTAGTGCAGGGGTGCAAACTCATCAGGATGGGAAAAAGGTGACAAGGATGACCCCTGGAACACATTTTTCAACGTACCAACTTCAAAATGAGAATTAAGTTGATTACACCATGAGGATATCAGGGAAAATCTCCTGAGCACTTCACACTGCAAACCACCCCAGTGCATGCTGCCTTGAGATCCTGTCTATCACAAACAGAATCTGTGACAAGGGACAACGCAATTTCATGATGAGATTTTAAATATGTATGTGTGTGTGTGTGGAGCGTAAGTTTAACTGAGCCACAGGCCAGGGCGACGCGCTGCTTTGGGTCTTCTGTCAAACATGTCCACAAGAAATCCTGGCAGTCTAAAGAGAAAGAAAATGAAAGGTGAAGGTGATCCATCAGAATGTAAACTAAAATGAACAGATGTGTGTCTGCTGGCGTGTGTGATTTTCCTACCTTCGGACAGCAGAGGATTGACATCTTACTCTAGAAGACGCGATAAAAGGACCTTTTCTTGACGATGCAGCTCAGCCCGAAGACAATGATGCGAATGCGTGGGACATCCGAGCCGATCAGGATATTTCCCACCTTGATGTCACAGTGAAAGATGTACATATCCTGGAGTTCAATTGCCGCATCAAGGAGCTGCTTTAGTATAATCTAAGAGACAAAAAGAGAGAGATGAGGGATCAGACAGGAGGTTTGACATATTTTCTGTGACTCTGGTTTAAAGCTTACTACAGCTGTAAGATACAACATTTCTAAACAGGGCTGGACTGGGACAAAAAATCGGCCCGGGCATTTTGAGCCTAGTCCGGCCCACCAGGTATTGATGGAAAGACAATGAAGCCTATGAATGAAAACAAACTTTCTTGTGACACTGCTTGTACACTGTCTTGTTGGTGTATACGTACTTGTCTAATAAATTTAAACCTACACCATCCTCCCAGTCACATTATTCTATACAGTACTTACTTAGAGGAACCCAAAAGGCTGCTTGGTCTAGTGAACCTCCTGAACAATAAACGTATGATGGGATCCTGAAAATTGGACAGTGAGGAACAGAGGTGAGACATGATCATTGATGAATATTAAAATGAATACATGACAGATTTAGTAATATTTTCATAGACTATGTACTCACCACATCAATAAACAGCACAGCAACACATAATACTTCCTCAAACATGGCAACCTTTAAAAAGTGAAGGGATATTTTAAATTGAATGGAAACATGCCCACAATAAAAACAAAATACAGGTAATTATTGTCCACAAGAGTTTGCTGTTACATGTCAGTAAAAAAACAATAAGATAAAAACACAACTTATCTAGAATAAAGAGAATATTTATGTATAAAAGACAAATACATTTAAGTAGTTACTTTTAACGCCACGCCACTTTTATGTTAATGAGCAGCATCACATCTCCTGGCAAATCCTAATTTGATTCAATCTACATTATATTTGCAAGTGGGTTTATGATGAATACCAGCCTAATCATTTGGTTTTACATGAACATTTTTGCTCTGTTGAGCTTTAGCTGTTTCAGAGTAAAGAATTACTGCATAGTGCACTTATATCAATTAATAGACATTGAAATATTTTACTACCTAACTAATAAAGACTATACTTAACTAACTAAATGATTAAAATAAAGTTACTGAAGCACTAAGATCACCATCACTAGTATAACATCATAGAAACAGCCCAGCAGTAGAGAAACCCCTTCATGCTGCTCAACTGCCAGCTAAATTGTTAAATGGCCTACTCATAACTATGCTGTGTTAAGAGTTAGCAAGCACAACGAAAATAAACTATCAACCAAACTTGATTCATATCTGACCCAGGTAGACTGCTGTTCATCACTTCTTACCTGAAGTTCAAATTCCTCTCCATTCGCACCGACTGTGCCGTCGTCATATAATGTGGCACCCCCCAGCCCCCCACCCCACTCGCCTCGTCTATGCAGCCGAGCACCGCAGCATCTCCACGGACTATTACATCCAGACGGTCCCGGTGTTTCCTCCGCAGGCTCCACTTCACTCAGCTGCCCGATATACCCGCTGCTTCTTCCCACATTAAAGGACAACTTCGGTATTTTTCAACCTGGGCCCTATTTCTCCATGTGTATGTGTGCTTATGATTCATGGGTACAGCTCGTTGTAAAATTGGTTCAGTATTGAGGGAGGCGGATGCAACTGGAGCCGCGAAACGAGCGTCTCCAAGATGCTGGAGATCAACACAGAGAGAGGTTGTGTGAGGTCATGCTATACTACAGATGAAATTACACCTCTAGTTCTTCACATAGCAATTTTTTAATTCCTTCAATCTAGAAATGATTAATTTCGCTTATTGCTCCTTTAAACATCAAAATATGACGCTCTGGGTATCCTCCTGCATCAAGTTTGGAAGGTCAGGGATGGTGTGACAATTTACGCTTGCTATGCAGTTTCTGCTTGTTAGTCTTTTTTCAAAATAAACTTACAATGTAACACCTCGTTTGGCAGTTGTTTTGCTAAATTTTAGGCAGTAGCCTACCTTGGCCTCCTCTTTCTCTAGGGAGCGACTGTTGACCTCAGTGTACTTGAGTAGGTACATGGAGGGAACTGGTCTCTCCAGCATCAGGATCAGCTCCTGGTCCAGATCATACCAGTCCAGTAGGGACATGGGTGCTGACGTTCCCACCGACCCATTTGTTGCTGCTGCCAGGTTTAACATAGCAACCTCTGTTACGTCCCCCAGCCGCCTGTGTATTCATTATGTGTATATGTGCATTATGATCTGTGTATTTATTATGTGGATGTGTACAGTACAGGCCAAAAGTTTGGACACACCTTCTCATTCAATGCGTTTTCTTTATTTTCATGACTATTTACATTGTAGATTCTCACTGAAGGCATCAAAACTATGAATGAACACATGTGGAGTTATGTACTTAACAAAAAAAGGTGAAATAACTGAAAACATGTTTTATATTCTAGTTTCTTCAAAATAGCCACCCTTTGCTCTGATTACTGCTTTGCACACTCTTGGCATTCTCTCCATGAGCTTCAAGAGGTAGTCACCTGAAATGGTTTTCCAACAGTCTTGAAGGAGTTCCCAGAGGTGTTTAGCACTTGTTGGCCCCTTTGCCTTCACTCTGCGGTCCAGCTCACCCCAAACCATCTCGATTGGGTTCAGGTCCGGTGACTGTGGAGGCCAGGTCATCTGCCGCAGCACTCCATCACTCTCCTTCTTGGTCAAATAGCCCTTACACAGCCTGGAGGTGTGTTTGGGGTCATTGTCCTGTTGAAAAATAAATGATCGTCCAACTAAACGCAAACCGGATGGGATGGCATGTCGCTGCAGGATGCTGTGGTAGCCATGCTGGTTCAGTGTGCCTTCAATTTTGAATAAATCCCCAACAGTGTCACCAGCAAAACACCCCCACACCATCACACCTCCTCCTCCATGCTTCACAGTGGGAACCAGGCATGTGGAATCCATCCGTTCACCTTTTCTGCGTCTCACAAAGACACGGCGGTTGGAACCAAAGATCTCAAATTTGGACTCATCAGACCAAAGCACAGATTTCCACTGGTCTAATGTCCATTCCTTGTGTTTCTTGGCCCAAACAAATCTCTTCTGCTTGTTGCCTCTCCTTAGCAGTGGTTTCCTAGCAGCTATTTGACCATGAAGGCCTGATTGGCGCAGTCTCCTCTTAACAGTTGTTCTAGAGATGGGTCTGCTGCTAGAACTCTGTGTGGCATTCATCTGGTCTCTGATCTGAGCTGCTGTTAACTTGCGATTTCTGAGGCTGGTGACTCGGATGAACTTATCCTCAGAAGCAGAGGTGACTCTTGGTCTTCCTTTCCTGGGTCGGTCCTCATGTGTGCCAGTTTCGTTGTAGCGCTTGATGGTTTTTGCGACTCCACTTGGGGACACATTTAAAGTTTTTGCAATTTTCCGGACTGACTGACCTTCATTTCTTAAAGTAATGATGGCCACTCGTTTTTCTTTAGTTAGCTGATTGGTTCTTGCCATAATATGAATTTTAACAGTTGTCCAATAGGGCTGTCGGCTGTGTATTAACCTGACTTCTGCACAACACAACTGATGGTCCCAACCCCATTGATAAAGCAAGAAATTCCACTAATTAACCCTGATAAGGCACACCTGTGAAGTGGAAACCATTTCAGGTGACTACCTCTTGAAGCTCATGGAGAGAATGCCAAGAGTGTGCAAAGCAGTAATCAGAGCAAAGGGTGGCTATTTTGAAGAAACTAGAATATAAAACATGTTTTCAGTTATTTCAACTTTTTTTGTTAAGTACATAACTCCACATGTGTTCATTCATAGTTTTGATGCCTTCAGTGAGAATCTACAATGTAAATAGTCATGAAAATAAAGAAAACGCATTGAATGAGAAGGTGTGTCCAAACTTTTGGCCTGTACTGTATATTTCTATGTATATGCTTTTAACCTGTATGTTTAGTGGAGAGTCAGACCTGTCTTTCTGTCCGGAGATCGTTTGCTTGTTAACAGGTGTGCCGGTGATTCCGCTCAACGATCGTGACGTCGCTACGGCTGGATTGGCTGAGCAAGGAGCTCGGCCTTCAGTGTCAACAGCTACTGGATAACAAGCGTGACGTCACCGCTGCCGGATTGGTGGAGCAAGGGGCTTGGCCTTCATAATGCCGGCCACACGGAAGGCAAGAGACCACTCTCTGACATGGCAGCAGCGCATCGTTTCTCTGATCTTGTGTGATAAGTGATTTCTCGTGTGTGACCAAAGTGTGTATGTTCATATTTAGCTTGCCTTGCTAAATATTGTATCTTTTTGTTCAGACCAGCGCCTTAGGGCCAACTGAGTCGTTTGTGTATATATTGTAAATAGTCACTGTCACATATTATTGTTTGCACGGAGCGTAGGGGTGAGCTGCTATTTTTGTTATACCTGTTTTCTCATGTTTTTCATTAGCCTAGGGAGTTAGGCCTAGTACTGTATTTGTGTTTCTTTTGTTGTCGTTAGGACTTTATGTCCAACAATTGTACCCTATTATTCTATGAGTTCATCATTATAGAAGTATAACATTCTAGAATGCATAACACTTTAATATCTGTGAGAAGCTAGAAACATTAATTTCAGAGTTGATACCTAAAAATGACTTTGACTTGAGTTGGAGCTGCACCCAATGGTCCCCCATTCCAAGGATCAAAAGCAGGAACTTCTTGTACCTTCCTAGACTCTTAACTCTCAGTAATCCCTAACATCATGTTTATCATTTATGACCATTCTAGGACTACAACAGTTAAGAAACCCAACTTCTTAGGTGCATATCACTCTAAGACCCAGAACACTTGACAACCTGTGACATGCTAGGACCTGTAAAACATAAGGACTTTAAACTTGACATTCTAGAACCCTGCCATTCTAGAACTACTCAACATCAACACTTTATGTTCAACAATTATACCCTACTATTCTATGAGTTCATCATTCTAGAACCATAACATTCCAGAATGCATAACACTTTAGTATCTGTGAGAAGCTAGAAACATTCATTTCAGAGTTGATAGCTAAAAATGACTTTGCCTTGAGTAGGAGCTGCACCCAATGGTCCCCCATTCCATTAAAGGATCAAAAGCAGGAACTTCTTGTAACTTCCTAGACTCTTAACTCTCAGCAACCCCTAACATCATGTTTATCATTTATGACCATTCTAGGACTACAACAGTTAAGAAACCCAACTTCTTAGGTGCATATCCCTCTAAGACCCACAACATTTGACAACCTGTGACATGCTAGGATCTGTAACACATAAGGAATTTAAACTTGACATTCTAGAACCCTGCCATTCTAGAACTACTAAACATCAAGACTTTATGTTCAACAATTGTATCCTACTATTCTATGAGTTCATCATTCTAGAACCATAACATTCTAGAATGCATAACACGTTAGTATCTGTGAGAAGCTAGAAACATTAATTTCAGAGTTGATACCTAAAATGACTTTGCCTTGAGTAGGAGCTGCACCCAATGGTCCCCCATTCCATTAAAGGATCAAAAGCAGGATCTTCTTGTAACTTCCTAGACTCTTAACTCTCAGCAACCCCTAACATCATGTTTATCATTTATGACCATTCTAGGACTACAACAGCTAAGAAACCCAACTTCTTAGGTGCATATCACTCTAACACCCACAACACTTGACAACCTGTGACATGCTAGGATCTGTAACACATAAGGACTTTGAACTTGACATTCTAGAACCCTGCCATTCTAGAACTACTAGACATCAAAGCTTTATGTTCAACAATTGTACCCTACTATTCTATGAGTTCATCATTCTAGAACCATAACATTCTAGAATGCATAACACTTTAGTATCTGTAAGAAGCTAGAAACATTCATTTCAGAGTTGATACCTAAAAATGACTTTGCCTTGAGTATGAGCTGCACCCAATGGTCCCCCATTCCATTAAAGGATCAAAAGCAGGATCTTCTTGTAACTTCCTAGAATTCTAACTCTCGGCAACCCCTAACATCATGTTTATCATTTATGACCATCCTAGAGTACAACAGTTAAGAAACCCAACTTCTTAGGTGCATATCACTCTAAGACCCACAACACTTGACAACCTGTGGCATGCTAGGATCTGTAACACATAAGGACTTTAAACTTAACATTCTAGAACCCTGCCATTCTAGAACTACTCAACATCAATACTTTATGTTCAACAGTTGTACCCTACTATTCTATGAGTTCATCATTCTAAAATGCTTAACACTTTAGTATCTGTGAGAAGCTAGAAACATTAATTTCAGAGTTGATAGCTAAAAATGACTTTGCCTTGAGTATGAGCTGCACCCAATGGTCCCCCATTCCATTAAAGGATCAAAAGCAGGATCTTCTTGTAACTTCCTAGAATTCTAACTCTCAGCAACCCCTAACATCATGTTTATCATTCATGACCATTCTAGGACTACAACAGTTAAAAGACCCAACTTCTTAGGTGTATATCACTCTAAGACCCACAACACTTGACAACCTGTGACATGCTAGGATCTGTAACACATAAGGACTTTAAGCTTAACATTCTAAAACCCTGCCATTCTAGAACTACTGAACATTAAGACTTTATGTTCAACAATTGTACCCTACTATTCTATGAGTTCATCATTCTAGAACCACAACATTCTAGAATGCATAACACTTTAGTATCTGTGAGAAGCTAGAAACATTAATTTCAGAGTTGATAGCTAAAAATGACTTTGCCTTGAGTAGGAGCTGCACCCAATGGTCCCCCATTCCATTAAAGGATCAAAAGCAGGATCTTTTTGTAACTTCCTAGACTCTCAACTCCCAGCAACCCCTAACATCATGTTTATCATTTATGACCATTCTAGGACTACAACAGTTAAGAAACCCAACTTCTTAGGTGCATATCACTCTAAGACCCGCAACTCTTGACAACTTGTGACATGCTAGGACCTGTAACACATAAGAACTTTAAACTTGACATTCGAGAACCCTATCATTCTAGAACTACTGAACATCAAGACTTTATGTTCAACAATTGTACCCTACTATTCTATGAGTTCATCATTCTAGAACCATAACATTCTAGAATGCATAACACTTTAGTGTCTGTGAGAAGCTAGAAACATTCATTTCAGAGTTGATAGCTAAAAATGACTTTGCCTTGAGTAGGAGCTGCACCCAGTTGTCCCCC